CTATCTATATATACAAACTGTCTATATATACAAACTGTCCATATAGCTACTACCTATCTATATATACAAACTATCTATATATACAAACTGTCTATAGAGCTAGCATCTGTCTATAGATACAAACTGTCCATATAGTTACCACCTGTCTATATATACAAAACTGTCTATATATGGTCTATATATACAAACTGTCTATATATACAAACTGTCAATATAGCTACCACCGGTCTATATATACAAACTGTCTATAGAGCTAGCACCTGTCTATAGATACAAACGGTCAATATAGCTACTATCTGTCTATATATACAAAATGTCAATATAGCTACCACCTGTCTATATATACAAACTGTCTATATATACAAACTTTCAGAGCTAGCTTCTGTCTATAGATACAAACTGTCAATATAGCTACTATCTGTCTATATAGCTACCCCCTGTCAATAAATACAAACTGTATAGCTACCATCAGTCTATAAGCTATATATACAAACTGTCTATAGAGCTAGCTTCTGTCTATAGATACAAACTGTCTATATAGCTACCCCCTGTCAATAAATACAAACTGTATAGCTACCATCAGTCTATAAGCTATATATACAAACTGTCCATATAGCTACCACCGATACAAACTGTCCACATAGCTACTATCTGTCTATATAGCTACCACCTGTCTATATAGCTACCACCTGTCTATAGATACAAACTATCCACATAGCTACCACCTGTCTATATAGCTACCACCTTTCTATAGATACAAACTGTCAATATAGCTACTATCTGTCTATAGATACAAACTGTCCATATAGCTACTACCTGTCTATAGATACAAACTGTCCATATAGCTACTATCTGTCTATATATACAAACTGTCCATATAGCTACTATCTGTCTATAGATACAAACTGTCCATTTAGTAACCACCTGTCTATATATACAAAACTGTCTATATTTACAAACTGTCTATAGAGCTAGCACCTGTCTATAGATACAAACTGTCCATATAGTAACCACCTGTCTATATATACAAAACTGTCTATATATACAAACTGTCTATAGAGCTAGCACCTGTCTATAGATACAAACTGTCCATATAGTAACCTCCTGTCTATATATACAAAACTGTCTATATATACACACTGTCTATAGAGCTAGCACCTGTCTATAGATAAAAACTGTCAATATAGCTACTATCTGTCTATATATACAAACTGTCTATATAGCTACTACCTGTCTATATATACAAACTGTCTATATATACAAACTGTCTATAGAGCTAGCACATGTCTATAGATACAAACTGTCCATATAGTAACCACCTGTCTATATATACAAAACGGTCTATATATACAAACTGTCTATAGAGCTAGCACATGTCTATAGATACAAACTGTCCATATAGTAACCTCCTGTCTATATATACAAAACTGTCTATATATACACACTGTCTATAGAGCTAGCACCTGTCTATAGATACAAACTGTCCATATAGCTACTACCTGTCTATAGATACAAACTGTCCATATAGTAACCTCCTGTCTATATATACAAAACTGTCTATATATACACACTGTCTATAGAGCTAGCACCTGTCTATAGATAAAAACTGTCAATATAGCTACTATCTGTCTATATATACAAACTGTCCATATAGCTACCACCTGTCTATAGATACAAACTATCCACATAGCTACTATCTGTCTATATAGCTACCACCTGTCTATAGATACAAACTATCCACATAGCTTCCACCTGTCTATATATCTACCACCTGTCTATAGATACACACTGTATATATAGCTACCACCTGTCTATAGATACAAACTGTCCATATAGCTACCACCTGTCTATAGATACAAACTGTCCATTTAGCTACCACCTGTCTATAGATACAAACTGTCGATATAGCTACCATCTGTCAGGATAGGTACAACCATTCTATAGATACAAACGTAATTATACAGTTAAAGTATGGGGTTAAGGGATATAGCAAGTTTCTGGTGTCCCGGGACCATGCCTATTTCCCGAGGCGAAGAGAAATAGGCATCGTCTACGGACACCAGAAACTTGCTATATCCCTGAACCATAAAATAATAATTGGAGGTTCTTATATACCGCTTTATCACAACCTAGTTCGTAGGCCGTCTCAAAGCGGTTCAAAAATTATTATCCGTGGTTATAGGGCCTTTGCAACCAGCCAATACCTTTCTCAACTCCCTGGGGAGCATACAGCCTGAGCTGCCATTTCGGCGCTAACAGCTAGCATTCAACGATTCTAGCACTGTCCAACCACGTACTCATTTACAGCTGAGTAGACTGAAACAAGCGAAGTAAAGTATCTTGCTTAAAGATACAACACATTGCCGTGCCGTGGCGCGAACCCGCAACCCTTCGGTCACGAGCCCGGCGTCCTACCGTGCCTCCTATAAATATATATATATATATTGCATACAAGACCGAGATATCCGCATTTCAGGCGGTGCTGGAATATTTTATAGTGACCTTTCGAGGTCACGCTATTGTTCGTGACGTCATTTTATGACGTTTTGGGGTCAGTCAGGGTCATTGACGTCTTTAACAAAATGTTTAAACTTATAGCTGTCACCTGTCTATAGATACAAACTTCATATAAAGATACAAACTGTCCATATAGCTACCACCTGTCAATAAATACAAACTGTATAGCTACCATCAGTCTATAAGCCCCCACTCAAAGCTGTATTTTCTAGCAATATATGTTTTGGGGAGGGGGGCTGCAGCCTTGGTCTATAACCTATACGAACAACATATAATCTATAATTATTTCCTGCCTAACACCTGCGCCCTTGAAATTACCAGAATTCTTCTTTCTTAAAGCAGCAAACTGCCTATAGAATGGCATGTTTTATTCTTTTTTTTAATTGAACTGTCTTTATATAAAGATTGAAACATTGTTAGAATCATGAATTCTTGAACCCTTGTGATAAACTAATTACGGATTGGATGATATATGGAAAACAAAAACAATTACTAGTCTCGAAAGAGTACTCTTTTATGTACAAGAGTCACATTTTGAACATTAAACCGCAATACTGCTTGGTAATGACGTTCTTGATGCCAAATTTTACCCGTATAGAAAACGCTAATAACATTTCACGTCGAATGATATTAGGAGCAAACTATCTAAACTTATGACTCCAGGTATTGGATTGAATAATACATTATTATCATTGTCCTACCACAGCAGGAGGGATTCGTATTATGATATTTGTGCCTGGTGCTTTTCTGGTGACTGGTGTTGAGCATTACTATGAAAACATTCCATTGCCTTTTCTTTCAGTGACTACAGCGATCAGATCAAGAACGTATGACATAACATTCTTTGTTTCTTTTGCTGAGCAAATTTGTTATATTGTATATTGTCCCTTGCGTCGCGAGTAAATAAGATACTTGTGTATATTTGATACTATTCCTGACCCATCAAAACCCCAATAATACGCTTTCCTTTTTTCTCTTGGGTAACCCGAATTCTTCATAGAAGAGCATTTCTTGTTTAATCTCTCATGATCATTTGACTTCCCGTCACTTTATTGATATATCGGAATCACGGGACAAGCCCCATCGCGTGCCGTCGTGTGAGATCGTGATCGTGCGCTAAACTGTGCTATGGCAGGTCACCCATTAACTTCAGTCCCCATTACTGTCAGTCAAAGACTGCCTGAAACTCAGATTAACTCCGGACCAGTGTAATCAATATGCCCTGACTCTGATGATCGTATCCTCTGACTGTAGATTTTGTGACAGACTTGTCCTGAATGAAGGCTCCACATGACAGCCTTTTTGCTATAATTGATGCGATGTTCAAACGTTTAATGCATCCTAAGAATCCCTATCTCATATAGAAACTATGTGTAGGGTTGGGCATGTGTGGAGGTGGTGTAGATTTTAAGTGAGAGTTTTGCGACGTTTTTATAGTAAACGCCTTCCTTCTCACCGTCTTCTAGCGATATATTTTGTAACCGAGAACAAACATCATCAAAGCTTATGTATTTTTCGTGGGTTACATTTTCTCGTGTCCAAGAAGAAAGTAAACAATAAAGACAAATATTCAATCAGAATTCAATTCCGCATTCCAACAAGGTGTATCTATTAGATTGGGAAGGGTAAGACACCCTTTGTATGCTTTTTACTGCTAAGATACCTTGTTTTTGGACTGGTCGGTAGTGGCCCGTCCAGTTCCATTTGATAATAAATGTATGCGAAATGGAAAATTGTGTAAGGAAATAGTCGAAATATAAGTGGCAGTCGTCCTGCCATACCCTACAAATGTTTGTCTTGGGCATCGCAACAGCTAATTTCAAAGGAAAATGGGCGCTTACGGGGACAGCGCCGAACAGAAAGAAAAAGGACGTGAACAAAACACATCCTTTAAATTCATTTGTTTTTGCGATGGAGGCAATTTTGTTTCCTCTATGTGCCTCAAGCAGAAAAAAACCTCAAGTTCTGGAGGACCCACAACATTAGTCGCCTCTTACCACCGACAATCAGTGGGCTATTTTCCTCCCCACAACGTCAATGCAAAAGGTCAACATAGAAAACCAAAGTCAATAAGAAAAGACAAGAGGAGCCAAGGTACATCAATGCCAAGAGCATATGGGGCAACAATACAGAAGAAAAGACAAGAGGAACCGAGGTACAACAACGCCAAGAACAGACGGGGCAACAATAAAGAAGAAAAGACAAGAGGAGCCTAGTAACAACAACGCTAGGAACGGACGGGACAAAAATGCAGAAGAAAAGACAAGAGGAGCCAAAGTACACCAACGCCAGGAACAGATGGGACAAAAATACAGAAGGAAAAGACAAGAAGAGCCGAGGTACAACAACACCAAGAACAGATGGGGCAACAATAAAGAAGAAGAGACAAAAAAAAGCCGAGGTACACCAACGCAAGGAACTGATGGGGCAACAATAAAGAAGAAAAGACAAGAGGAGCCGAGGTACATCAACGCCAAGAACTGATGGGGCAACAACACAGAAGAGAAAACAAGAGGAGTCGAGGTACATCAACGCCAAGAACTGATGGGGCAACAATACAGAAGAAAAGACAAGAGGTGCCGAGGTACAACAACCCTAAGACCAGATGGGCAACAACACAGAAGAAAAGACAAGAGGAGCCGAGGTACAATAACGCCAAGAACAGATGGGGCAACAATACAGAAGAGAAAACAAGAGGAGTCGAGGTACATCAACGCCAAGAACTGATGGGGCAACAATACAGAAGAAAAGACAAGAGGAGTCGAGGTACAACAACCCCAAGAACAGATGGGGCAACAATACAGAAGAGAAGACCAGAGGAGCCGAGTTACAACAACGGCAAAAACAGATGGGGCAACAATCCAGAAGAGAAAACAAGAGGAGACGAGGTACATCAACGCCAAGAGCTGATGGGGCAACAATACAGAAGAAAAGACACGAGGAGCCGAGGTACAATCACGCCAAGAACAGATGGGACAAAAATACAGAAGGAAAAGACAAGAAGAGCCGAAGTATAATAACGCCAAGAACAGTTGGGGAAACAATACAGAAGAGAAGACAAGAAGAGCCGAAGTATAATAACGCCAAGAACAGATGAGACAAAAATACAGAAGAAAAGAAAAGAGGAGCCGAGGTACAATACCGCCAAGAACAGATGGGACAAAAATACAGAAGGAAAAGACAAGAAGAGCCGAAGTATAATAACGCCAAGAACAGTTGGGGAAACAATACAGAAGAGAACACAAGAGGAGTCGAGGAACATCAACGCCAAGAACAGATGTGGCAAAAATACAGAAGAAAAGAAAAGAGGAGCCGAGGAAAAATAACGCCAAGAACAGATGAGACAAAAATACAGAAGAAAAGAAAAGAGGAGCCGAGGTACAACAACGACAAAAACAGATGGGGCAGCAACACAGAAGTGAAGACTAGAAGAGCCGAGGTACAATGGGCAACAATACAGAAGTGAAGACAAGAAGAGCCGAGGAACAACAACGCCAAGAACTGATGTGACAAAAATACAGAAGTAAAGACAAGAGGAGCCGAGCTACAACAACGCCAGGAACAGATGGGACAAAAATACAGAAGGAAAAGACAAGAAGAGCCGAAGTATAATAACGCCAAGAACAGATGTGGCAAAAATACAGAAGAAAAAGAAAGAGGACTCGAGGAACAACAACGCCAAGAACAGATGTGGCAAAAATACAGAAGAAAAAGAAAGAGGACTCGAGGTCCAACAACGCCAAGAACAGATGTGGCAAAAATACAGAAGAAAAGCCAAGAGGAGCCGAGGTACAATACCGCCAAGAACAGATGGGGGAACAACACAGAAGTGAAGAGAAGAAGAGCCGAGGTACAATGGGCAACAATACAGAAGGAAAGACAAGAGGAGCCGAGCTACAACAACGCCAGGAACAGATGGGGCAACAATAAAGAAGAAAAGACAAGGGGAGCCGAGGTACAATACCGCCAAGAACAGATGTGGCAAAAATACAGAAGAAAAGAAAAGAGGAGCCGAGGTACCATAACGCCAAGAACAGATGAGACAAAAATACAGAAGAAAAGCCAAGAGGTGCCGAGGTACAACAACCCTAAGACCAGATGGGCAACAACACAGAAGGGAAGACAAGACGAGCCGAGGTACAACAACCCTAAGACCAGATGGGCAACAACACCGACGAAACGACAAGAGGAGCCGAGGGACAATCACGCCAGGAACAGATGGGGCAACAATCCAGAAGAGAAAACAAGAGGAGACGAGGAACATCAACGCCAAGAACAGATGTGACAAAAATAAAGAAGAAAAGACAAGAGAAGCCGAGGTACACCAACGCCAAGAACTGATGTGACAAAAATACAGAAGAAAAGAAAAGAGGAGCCGAGGTACAATACCGCCAAGAACAGATGTGCCAACAATCCAGAAGAAAAGACAAGAGAAGCCGAGGTACACCAACGCCAAGAACTGATGGGGCAAAAATACAGAAGAGAAGACCAGAGGAGCCGAGTTACAACAAAGCGAAGAACAGATGTGACAAAAATACAGGAGAAAAGACAAGAGGAGCCAAAGTACACCAACGCCAGGAACAGATGGGGCAACAACTCAGAAGTGAAGACAAGATGAGCCGATGTACAATAACGCCAAGATCAGATGGGGCAACAATAAAGAAGAAAAGACAAGGGGAGCCGAGGTACAACACCGCCAAGAACAGATGGGACAAAAATACAGAAGGAAAAGACAAGAAGAGCCGAGGTACAATGGGCAACAATACAGAAGAAAAAACAAGAGGAGTCGAGGGACATCAACGCCAAGAACCGATGGGGCAACAATACAGAAGAGAAGACAAGAGGAGCCGAGTTACAACAACGCCAGGAACAGATGTGACAACAATACAGAAGAAAACAAAAGAGGAGTCGAGGTACACAAACGCCAGGAACAGATTGGTCAACACTACAGAAGAAAAGACATGAATACCACACAAATCGAAGTCGAAAGTAGGTGAGTGTCTCTTTTAGTATGCAATTCTTTTCCTGTATTAGAATGATTGAAAAAAAAGTAGTTTGACGTCCGCGCATGAAAACCACTTCATCTTGTTTAGACCACCGGGTAAGAAGGATTTATGCCAGGACGCAGCGGTCGTCGTCCGTCAAATGTCCTTGTTCCATACATCAAAAGGGCAATCTTTTAAAGCTGTTTGGTCTCCCTTCGTCATAACAACAGTTGACACTAGGCACGAGGAGACAACAAATACATTCAGACTAACAAGATTGGGTCAAGGATCTTGTAGTGCCCCTGAAGACTAATTCTATTGGTCATAACTTGAAAATAATTGAGATTCAAACCCAATAACCAAATTAACACTCGCTCGGGACGAAGAAGCAAATATGCTTACCTGTACACCGGCCCTGGGATATTGTTCTTTAAGCAATTTTTTCTTAAAGGTTTAAGAACAATGTATTTTACATGAAGTTTACTAGTGTGAAGCCTATCAAGACTGTCCAAATAAACTACCTCGACGACCGACTTCTGCTAATGAACCATGATGCATGAATAAATCATATTTTGGCTTGTTGCATGCGGGCTAGGGCGAAGGTCATAGGGGTTAAATATGTCACACCAAAACACTTTTTTTCTGACGACCTGGATTTCTAGAGTAAGGAATGGTCTGTAGCTGGAATGACTGCCCTAGACTATAATTCAGAGTTAAGTGTGTCAAACGTCTGCTATGTTACGACACTTGTCATTGGTGTCATGTGTTATTTAACGATATAACACACGCGCGTGCTTGTGTTAATTTCAAACAAACGAAGCAGAATAAAAACCTTCCCTCATTGCAAATGGAAACAAGCGTAGCGTGGAACTGATTTCCTTTGTCGAGTACGTGAACACGCATTTGTTTGTGTATATACACTTTAATTGAAAAAAAATAATTTTGGAAAACAAATATGCATATGACCAATTTCAGTAACCTGTTAGAATATCATAAATAGGAATACTTTTGAACTCTGTGCAGTTCGAAACTTTTACTAATTTGACATTAGGTTAATGATTAAAAGTGTCATTATATAGCTCTTTCGTTGTTTATAGAATGTTGTCATATTTTTTCTGTGAAATATTTAGATGTTTCAAACCAGGATGCAACAGAGGGACAAATTGTACAATACTGGTATTGTATTTCGTATCTAGGTCAACTGAAGCAATGTTGATTTTAGATTTGCAAAACGTAAAAGATAGCACAAAAAAGGATATTTCAAAAGAAGAGGCATAATAACCCCCATTTGATGGTTGTTTTAGAAAAGAGTTTTTTCTTTTAATCCCTTAATTTATTTTTATATTTACCCTTAAACAGCAAAATAAGGTGAAAATTTAGGATTTTTAGAACAAAATTATAAACAGGTTGCAAAAGAATCCGAATTGCTTTTCTGAGATCAAAACATATCTTAAAGAAATTTCAGTATTATGATTAAGAAGGAAATATTCACTGATTTCTGATTGTAAACTTGGAAGATATCGTATGGATTTGTTAGGCAAAATCTTCACTCAGAATCACAAATGATGTAAATTCGTTTCATTGACCGATTATAGGTCGCAAAAAATAAGAAGAAAAAACCTAGTGCACGGCTTCAAAACTTCCTTTTAGGTGACCGTGATGTCTTACTGATCAGAGAGCCGACTATTTGTTGGATATGTCTGAGAGCGCTATTTCTGGGCCCTGGCAAGTCGGTCAGGGTACGAATCAAACACTTGTCCTCCTTCGTTAATTATGAATACAACGTATCATAACACAAAAGTATGTTGAGACGAAGTTTAAATATATAAACTGCTCGTAGTGCTCGTAAGATTTGTAGACGATTTGTCACTAGGATCTTAGCAAGATTATTTTTAACCGTTGTAACATTTTAAACACCATTTTTTAGGAGGATGCGATGGTATAACGGTCAGAACTGTTGATATTTCTCGGGTAGTCAATTTATTGCCGGTGGTAGCGAATTCCAAGCTTTGTAACCTGTGTTTCTATGTTTCATATATATGCATTGTACACACACTGTACGGTAGATATATGAAAACAATGTTCAGGTAACATTTCCGTCATGATTTTTCTTCCGATTGTCTGGCTTGATGTTTAAACAAAAAAGAACAGGAAGTCATAACACATCTTCAACATCAAATATCAAAAATTGTCGGTAAATATAAAGACCCAACGTCATGATATCATGTTTTTGTTGCCTCGCATTACATTGGCGGACGTGCTGTTCCAAAACGATGAAGAAAACGCAATACTGCATTTCTGCCGACGTCCGAGCACTTCCCATTGAGTATCACGGGTATTGTTTGTAATATTTCATCTCTCTCGCGCTAAATAATGATAACCGCCGAATACAAAACAACTAGAATATTAGATGTAGCTTCAGCGCTCAATAATCATTTGGGTAATTTGACACTGGTGTTAATGCGATATATTTTATTGCAATTAAGCTTACAGTATTTTTCTGGCTAGACACCAAATTCAAAAATAGAGAATCTGATCGACCAAACCTAAGTCTCTCATAAACGAGGTGTGTGTGTGTGTGTGTGTGTGTGTGTGTGTGTGTTAATGAGAATCCTCTTCATCATTGGTAACAAGCTTGGCGCAAACCAACACACCTAACCTAGTCAAGAAGAAGAAGGGTTACATCTCCTGAGCGGACCTGCCCCCAAGTTGGAGATGTGGAAAACTATCTTTAGTAGTATTCTCGCAAGCACATCTATCCTTAAATAAACTCACTGTAGAAAACAGAAGGATCTCTTTATCAACAAAGAACCCATCACCAAAGCAGATATTAACCACGCAGTTTAGAAGATGAAGTATGGCAAGGAACCTGAACCCGATAACATCCTAACAGAGGCGTTGGTAGCAAATATAGCGCGGAAATCATGATATATTTTGTACAGGATATCTAGAACAAACGAAAAGGTGCCTACGGATAGGATAACAGACTACATTGTTAGGTTTCTAAAAGTATCCATTTTCTGTCTCTTCCGAACAGGATCCGAAGTAAATAATATCTATATGGATCTAGTCAGCTGTTGATCCCATGTCGAGGTAGGAGTAAACTGGATTCCGGGCAGAGTGATCTTGTACCGACCAATAAGCAACGCTTCGCATCATCATCAGTTCCTGGAATTGAGGGCACTACTCTACATCGGTTTAATTGAAGTCAGGAAATCATTTGACTTGGTGTATAGAGCAACTATATAAAGGTTCCGAGATACTGTAGCATTCGCGAGAAGATAAACAACCATAATGCAGGCCTGTTTTCAATTTTTGAAGTAGTCGTAGGTCATATATTGGATGGTGGAAATAGCATTGTACATAAACAGGGAATCACATGAACTTTTTACACAGAAGTTGGAGGATATGACCCTGCATTACTCTACACACACCAACATGATATTCACCATAACCGCAACCAAGGAACTAGCTTTTGACTCTGAAAGTATTAAGTGTTGAAGACTGAATGTCATTCAAGAAACACCTATTTCTTAGAACCAAGGCATATAACATGTCAGAAAGTTCAATCACTTGTAAAGCATTTTGAGCACGACATAGGAAACAAAACGGGGCGTCAGGATCAGGATTGCAAAGGCACCATAACCGTCCATTATCCTCAACACATTACATCTCCAACTTACACGCAGACATACACGCATAAGGAGATATCAACCAGGTGGCATAGGACTTGTAGTAAGCGCTTGATAAGGCAGCTCCTGTAAAATCCTCAAAATAGTATTGTTTAACGATATGCTAATTGCATTAATTGTATATCTATGTACTGTAAAGCGCTTTAGAGTGGCTTATGTTAGCTATATCAAATGCTGTATATTATTATTAATAATATTATTATGAGACAGTTTTGGGAAGCAATATTCCATCTTCAACCAGTTTGAAACTGTTTAATAAGTGCTGCTGATGTGATCGAAGACATGGGCAGCATTCAAATACACAAATGGGATAAACAGAGGTTTTCGTAGTCCCACGATAGTTATCTAAATAGAAGGTGGATAGACATCATCTTAAACTTTATTCAATGGCAAAAGAAAATCAGAAACCTCCAAGGAGGCGAATCGGAGATGGGTGAGACACATCCTGAAAATCGGATGTTTTCATTTAATGAGACAAATTTTCCTCTCAACCAATCAACAAGGAAATTGTTTTGTTTCTATTGTACGCAGTAAATCTTTTTTCTTTCATCATTTGGTTGATCGTTCCAATTGTCGATGATTTTTGCCCATGTACATCTATGGTCATTCATGTTTAGTTACAATGGTCTGAATTCAAGATGAGCGAGATTTACCGGAGGCATTTAAACAACAGCCAACATACGGTGCAAATTTTGGTAGCAAACAACAATAAAGGAAACACCATGACAACAGCTACTAGAACTTATAATATCAATGTTTGTTCAATTCTTACAGAGGATGCAGCAGACACGTGACAGCTGTACAATAATCAGGTTCATTCAAATCTTAATGACGTTGCAGCAAATATGGGACATTTAAGAATAGATATATTTACTTCAGTTTTATAAACATCAGGCCTTTTGTCACTGACCTTATGCAGACTGTGTAAACGGTAACGCCTTGTTGCTAATCGGTTTGATAAATAAATTATCGTCGGCAACACAGACACTAATTGGATGAACGAGTTTGATTTCCAAATCTAACTATGTTTTCCTGATCCAATACGTGCGTGATTTTGCAATTGTCGTTATGAGCTGAGATATGGCGATCAATGAGGTTGACTGTTACCATGCTTATACAGAAAGAGCTACATGCGTCATTTCACGCTCATTATAGGTTCCTTATCATTTTCTTAAATTACAGATAAATCGTACCTGGTGTCATTTCCTTCCTGTCGACAGGAGATTCCACACTAAAGTACGGATTATTACCTGCCGGGTATTGACGACCGCGCGCGAAGCGTGAGCGTGGGAGGAGCAAATCAATGGAGCAGTATAGTGCACCAGTAAACATCCGTAGTGTTGACAATCGTGCCAGCACTGTGGGTAGTATGTCTATCAAAGCAGCTACGCTGAGACCTCTCTGAGTGCAGTATCTATCATAACTGCTACGATACAGAAATACTTCTCTGAATAGAGTGTCTGACGTAGCAGCTACGCTATGGTAAGACCCCTCTGAGTACAATGTCTATCACAGCAGCTAGGGTGAGGGTACCTAAAATGGAACACTTAAAGAAAAATATCAATATTTCAATTAAAGTTTCTGAAAACCAATTTTTTTTTTTACTGTAATGAAACAATTTAGCCTTCATATTATGTTTTTATTGGGTATCAACAGGACCTGTGTCAATCTATAGAGCTTATTAAAGTGCGTAAGATTCACCTGGAATTTTAGGCTGGTCGAGTACCCAAAATGGAACACTTCATCTAATCATATAAGTCAGTTTATGAACATGACTGACATCATTTACAGAAAAGTGTTGAACATTTCTGACATACTTTACTCATTTATTCCTTAAAATACTCGTTTGAACATATAATTTTCCATGTTTATTTCCCGAGATTTTTTTCATTTAATTTTTGAAACATTTCAATCGAGTTTATGAGCAATGTTTAAGAGGTAGGCAGATGATTTTGTTCAAAATGCATAAAACTATCTAAATTTTGATAGAGAATACATACCATTATATTTTCTTACAAAATAAACATTGCTGCGTCATAAATATCAAAAGTTTTCCATTTTGGGTACTGTTCCATTTCGGGTATCCACTCTACGCTATAGAAATACTTGTCTGAATAAAGTGTCTATCTCAGCAGCTACGCTATGGTAAGACCTCTCTGAGAACAGCGTCTAGCAAAGCAGCTACAATTTAGGAGGCTCGGTAGTCTAGTGGTAGGACACCGGGCTCCTGACCGAAGGGTTGCGGGTTCGAGTCACGTCACGGCAGCACCGTATGCATGCTCCCCATGGAGTGAGAAAGATATTGGCGGCTGTTTGCAAAGGCCCTATAACCACGGATACTAATTTGTGAACCGCTTTGAGACGCCCTACGAACTAGTTTGTGATAAAGCGGTATATAAGAACCTCGAATTATTATTATTATTATTATTATTATTATTATTATTATTATTACAATACAGAAATACTTCTCTGAATAAAGTGTCTATCTCAGCAGCTACGCTATGGTAAGACCTCTCTGAGTGCAGTGTCTATTAAAGCAGTTGCGATACAGAAATGCTTCTCTAAAAAGATTGTCAATCGAAGCAGCTACGCTATGTTAAGACTTCTATGAATACATTATCTTCGTTACAGCTACGCTATGTTAAGACTCCTCTGAATACTGTGTCTGTCGCTACAGCTACGCTATGGTGAGACCTCTCTTAATACAGTGTCTGTCGTTACAGCTACGCTATGTTAAGACTTCTCTGAATACTGTGTCTGTCGCTACAGCTACGCTATGGTGAGACCTTTCTTAATACAGTGTCTGTCGTTACAGCTAAGCTATGGTGAGACCTTTCGTAAAACAGTGTCTGTCGTTACAGCTACGCTATGTTAAGACTTCTCTGAATACTGTGACTGTCGCTACAGCTACAATACGGTAAAACCGGTCTGAATGCAGTGGATATCAAAACAGCTACGATACAGAAATGCTTCTTTGAATAGTGTCTTCGGTAGCAGCTACGCTACAATACGGTAAAACCGGTCTGGCTACAGTGTCTATCAAAGCAGCTACAGAAAGACCTCTCTGAGTACAAGGTCTATCGTAGCAGTGATTAAATGAAATCAGATTGCAGTATCTATCACAGCAGCTATGCTAGAGAAAGATCTCCCGGAGTAGTGCTTATCGTAACACAAACGCTGTGGCGATACCTCATTAAGATGTGTATGTTGTCGAGGTCGCGCTCTGGTTAGCCTGTTAGTTGGGGGACCATCGCAGCAGTCACGTAAATGATTGCAAGACGCGTCAAAACTATACTTGGCGATTTTAGGAAAGCGTAACGTAAAAAGATGTCCAAATACACTATTTTCTAATGACAAAACGAGTGTCTGCTGTCGATCAGTATACCTGAAAGGTTATATTCGGGTGTGTTATTGTAACGCGTAACCTGTAATAACAAAGTTATTTTATGCTTGGCAAAGGTTTCGAATAACTGTTATCTTCAGATTTTGTTTACTTGTCAAAATAATAATTAGTCTACAACAGGAATTTAGACGATGTAACGACGGTTTTCATTGATTTTTGCATTATTGGACAAATATACCTGTAATATTTTCGTACTATTTTCCAATCACTATGTAAGTGCAACGCCCTTCCAAAATCTTTTCCATTTAAGTGAGCCATGTGCGGCTTATCTTGGATATTTTTGTATGACTTTCTTGACAGGGAATCTGACTGCAAATGTGCGCAGCTTCTTGGTAAAATGAAAATGAAGCGGCCATCGTTAATGATATATTCCACAATAATTTACGCTCATATGTTGCTTATTTCTTTTGAAAAAGCCAATCGAACAAATCAAGTTAGCTGTATACTTTAATGTTGTTTTCATGATTTCGAGCGCTACGATTTTACACATACTGAAATAGATGATAATTGGATCGTTCTGTTGATAGTTCCTATTTGAGTGAGTGCAATCACCAGTCATTCTCTTAATCCTGATTAAAGTTAGCGCAGTTGTATTTCCTGATACACTTGGACATCATTGTCAATATCATATAAAGTAAATGTTAACAATATGTGAAGCAAATTTGACTACTTCTTTCTAATGATATAATAACAAGACCCGAGCAAAGACTGCTAAAATTGCTATTAATGAAGTACTGACACTTCCATTGTAGATGCATTGTACTATTTCGGCCAGGAGCAGCCTCGACCACTATAAAACAAAACGTCATGCAACTACCACACGATGGAATCACGTGAGTACTTCTGATACGTGTAAGGAGGACAGACATTGTAATCCTTTCCTTCCGGAAACACCATGTCACAAATGTCCTTGACCTTGTCTGTGGTAAGCAAAGTGATGTAGGTAACACGATACCAGCGATTTGACTTTCTCCAACTTAAGTCGGCTGTGTTGGACACCAAACCAATGATCTTCCTCTCACGTGTACGCGGGTTCTCGTAGAAGAGCGTAGCCCCAGAATTGCCAACACTAGAATCACACTGACTCAATAAAACGTTATTTCCGTACATCAGGTGCTTCAGCGATTCCGAACACTTGGTTTTGGACATGGATGCCGTGTCGTAGTGAAACCCGAGGAAGTATAGGTCCTCATTTATGAGTCTTTGACTCGGAACATGCAGAGGCATGAAATCATGGCGACCATACACAGCTAGATTAAGGTGTAAGACCGCATAGTCAAACTTCGCCCGTTTAGCACTAGCCCCAGCCTTACCCCACTGTGAGGGCACGCTAATGTTACTGATAAAACGTACCAGGTCGCCGTGACTGTGTGGTATGAAAACCTTGAGCATCCCAAGTTTGGGTTTGAAATTGTCACCGTCGTGGACACAGTGAGCGGCCGTGAGGACGTAGGTCGGTGTGAGAAGTGTTCCCGTACAGCCGACGCCCCCGCCTAAAAGTCGCACAATGTTAAAGTATGGATAATGCTTTACCCGGGAAGGGTCGATCGCTAACCTGTCGTCATGCCCGTAGACAAACACACGCTGTTGGCGCGGAGGACTTCGTTTTTTGGTGACGTCGAATAAAACGTTCGACTCCAACGCACTGAGCAACTGTAATCTCTTACTGGATTTTGTCCTCCTGAAAAACTCGCTTGTCCATTCGTGAGTGCTTTTCTTAGGCAATTCATGTAACTGAAAGACGTTTGATAAACTTTGCATATCATATTGCTTTAGCTCCTTGCTGGCACTGACATTGGAGAAACGCCGCCGGACGGTATCCCCAACCCCCGCTGACAACACCACCACGTGCAGGTAGAACGAAAGCCACACGTAGACAATGTAGTGTATATGTGAATAGGCACACGTGTAGAGCATAGCAACGTATCTTTAGGTTACCAAAGTGGCTGCTCGTGTTCGACGTTTTCTGGACGCTTTTTTCAAATTTTTCGCATCTGGGATTGCGACGAGTCAGATTGTCTATCTGTAGGTAAGGCAGCAAACAGGCGGATTTGGATCTATCTGAAACAAAACAACGGAAGTCAAAATGTCATTTCTATTCTCTAACTTTTTGTTCTGTCTTAGATATTCAGGTAATGCGATTGTTACACATCTAACAAGCGAAATTTTATATTTTACATTGAATTCGACATTTTTTGTCTTAAGCACTCAACATTTCACTCTAAACCGACCAATCAGAGAGCAGTGAAAACAATGAGTATTGTCAATTGTGATATCGCTGACGCCCCAACGTTTTAACAATTTGCTTAAAATCTACAATGTCAAAAAAGTTTTCATACTTAATTAAAATGTAACTATTCGTATTTTTTGCACATCAACTTGCAATGTTCTAAAGAGTAATTTGTTTTTAATTTTCCAATATATATTAACCAAATATATGGTTTTCTTTCCAATATTAATAACCAATAGACTTGGTATTGAGCATGTTGTTTGTATTTATCTGCATCTTTATATATAAAATAAAACACGAAGAATATAATTCGCTAGCGCTTTCGCCCATCTTGGGGCTCTTCGGTCGTTTTTCTGCATCTTTATATATGTATCATAACATTAATAATATTTTATAAACCATTTGTGAAATGTTATGTACTTCATTTTAGTAAAATGCAAAAAAGAGTTAACTATGATAAAAAAAAAAAATCAAATTTATTCTTTTTTTATCTAGATTGTATAATTTCTGTATTTAACAAGCTTCAAGACGATTTTACCTATAAACAAATTAAGAAAAACACATTTTGTGGATAGTATGTAGTATTATTAAACATTGACTCCCATTTCAAGGGCTGTCAAATCGAGGCCAGTTTCCTTTAAGCGAGTCTGTTGTGAATACCTTCATGTAGAAAGAAAGTCAGATGAGGCTGAAATTACTTTACAGAAATGACAAATATTCATCTCTATAATTTAGACACAAAAATAACTCTGTTTTACGCTTGGTCAGACCCATTTCTATTAGGCATCTTCTTGGTTTTGTGAAGAAACCAAAAACATTCAAAGTTAAACTAAAAATAACATAAAATTAGGATATAATTTGAAAACTTCCTTAAAGTGTTAACCAAGGTTTGATAGGTTATGAACCGTCCCCCATCTTCCTATTATACAAGACCGGGTCATTTTGATTTCTTGTCCCTATGAAATGTTGCTTGGTTATTTCCCCCCCCCTCCCTCCCTCCCCCCCAACGGAATGATTGATTGGGACTTGCCTCCCTACACTTCGTGAAAAACTGAGAACAAAAGTAGTTTTAAATCAAAATAGGGAAAACATTTAATTTGACTAAACATGCAGGCATTACAAATGACTGAGAGTATTAAAAAGTATCGATACATAATCAATTACATTAGGTTTCATAACATTATGTTGCATACGAATTTAAAATAACCGAAAGAAATATTTCGTCTGACTGATTGGGTGACATCGTGTTCAGGCACGCGCCAAAACGCCCTAATTATAAAAATGGTTGACGATCCTTGCCTTGTTGTAAATTTCTCAAGATCGGCCTTTGCTTTAGAAGCAATCTTTTATGAACATCAACGTTTTGTGCGTATCATAAAAAATATTCAAAGTAATACATCATAAGAGTGAAAAACCCTTAGTAAACCTATTTAATATGATTTTTTTTTTAAATACAAATACTGCACCATTTTGCCATTCGTTCATTTAATAATCATTAGTGGTGCTAAAACACAAAAGAATAAAAATCCATATTAACAGTGTTCGTAGGCATTTGTGGAGTTACAGCAAAAAGGGACACATGCCATTTACACCATTTATACTTTTGTTTTGCTACAATAGAAAATTTATTTTCAACCTAGCATTTGATGTAAACCATGTCAGAGGATGTTTCAGCTACATGATTACATTAATAAAGCATCGAGCGAAGAACCTAATGCCAGTTTTACGCTAAGAATGTGTTTAGCTAACAAAAACAAAAAAAAATCTTAAGGAAATATCCACGCTTTTTCAATGTTTGGCTCTTAAACTGATAATAAATATTGGGTTATGCATCAAAACCGAATCAGAAAGGTTAACAAATTTCTGGGATTTCATTTCAACAAATTTTATTGCAAAAAATATGCAAAGGGATAGGGCATCAGGCAAAGCCTATATAAGCTCTCGGATACTGATATAGAGGTAGGTGATGACTTGTGTACCACAGTGTGTTGTATATTAGGCTAAGCAACGGAATGCTTACTATCAATAAAAAAAATCCACCTACGGGAAGTTGTGTGCGATTTACCAAAACACCATTTTTATCAAAATGAAATAGGAACAGACATCTCACCAATAGCAGCATAATTTAATTGTGTTATTTATTTTGTCCCTGAATGGGACAGACTTCTAAGCATCCAATCTAAGGTAAGATACTATAGACGGTGAGCAGAGGGAGTGTACAAGCCTACACTGATGTTTATATATTTGAATCTAGCTTCTGGGTTTGTCACTAATGAGGGAAGTGTAGTCCCTATCACAAAGGTAACGCACTACGTGTACCCCTGTAGCTGACGGTGATCTTCACAACACAAAGATGACAACCTCATCTGTCTCCGCGCCTTAAAACTTCGTCATTGTTAATTCTCCTGAGTGATGTTTGCTATTGTCGTTGTAATAAAACTGTAGCTGTATTCTCCCATTGATAGGTTCATCTTTTATATTATGTTTCTAATTCACCGACAGAGATGACCTGTTTGCAATAACATTGAAAGAATACATGCACTCTTGATGACCCGTTTATACAGTGTAAAAAATGTCATTACCGATACTATATGTATACTAGTATATTATATTATTATACCGGTTGAACTAACCAATATCAAGTACATTGCACACACATTTCTCGGTGATTTTATTAAAAAATCATTAGCATGTAAATATTCAATAACAAGAAAGTAAATATCAAACCAACATATCGGTCCGACAATTTAGCAAGCCATTTTTTATTTTTTTTTTTATTTTTTGTATTATCTAAGGCTGTATTTATTGAAACGTGTATTAGGACTGGTAACAAAAACCGAGGTAAGTCCATCAATTCACATTAGTATATATAGATTGTATTGCCTTTAAACAACAAGAAATATATTATTGACAACATTTCGTATATACCCTCATGAACCTGACACTGAGGACACTATACACTTTTTTTACATCAGCGATTAATCGACAGGGACGGCTAACTATTGTAGGATTAGCGTCACGATATTGATTCTACAATCGTGATCTTTTCAATATTTGATGGCAACGTCTCTGCTTCCCAGACCTACGGTATTGACATGCCAAAGTTGATTCAGTATTTAAGAGCCTGTTCCGAATATTACAATTTCAATCATAGATAAAGCTGTGTTTTGTTTCGCAATGCTCGTTTGCAATCTCACAACATTCCAATAAATCCCATTAACCTCACTCTTTAAAATCTTTCTGAGAATCATACCATTTTCTAACAAACCAACACCTGTCTTGAATTTCTGTTATTCGTCTTTCTCCGAAAACGCCACATTTATATATTGAAAAAAACACCAACTGCAGTGAATTCATTGATAATTTGTAGTTTAAGTGTGTGTTATAATGTTACGGTCGCCACTCCTCTTGCTTTGATTTAAGTTCATGTAACTAGGAAAGAACTATTTAAGTATATATATTTTATACAGAGAGCATGATCTTTAGATTTTATAATGCCAGGTTATTAACTTATTGTATTACTTTCGGTATACTTCTCTTGTCCTTTAACCGAGTTATCTGCTGTCGGCCATACGTAGGCTGAAACAAACAATATCTACTGCGTCATCCTACAACAATAACAAAAGGCAATGTATACAATACAAAAACGAAAAAACAAAAATGAAAGAAAAGAAAAATATATACAATAGCGACAACCCACAACGGCAAATTAGAATTGATATAAACGAAAGCGTCAACCAAAAACGACAAAATAGAAACGCAAAGTCGACACGAATCGTATTATTCACTGTCTCGCACTTTTTGTGGTAGAACAGAAGGTATATGAGTAATGTTTAAGTGTCAACGTGTAGATTAACGTTACGTTTAGTAATTTGTTTGTGTATGTAACTTCAAAAAATACTAAACATCATGTAAATAAGAATAAAGTGTTGTAAGAAATTAAATTTTATGTCGTTTCAAAACGGTAAAATGGCTGTGTAAACACAAAATATAGTCTGTGTGTTACGAAAAATGCATTAACATGCTTTAACTTTTATTTTCCAGTTTTTCGTATACTAGTCCTAAAATTTCATTCATTCATTGAATAATTCTGGGATGATTTTAAAGACAGCTTTACCCTAACCTCAAAATAATTTAGTTCTACTCAAAAGTCTGATCGATCAAGTCGTTGACTACTCTAGGGAATAGAAACGGAAGCGGATAACCTTTATTGATATTAAAATGGGTTAAGCATCTTATTCAGATTGGAATATGCATCTGACCTCCATAGTATGCATTTAGTGGTACAGGCTAACTCAGATTCTAACAAGACTATCTCTACAAACCGTTATGTAAGGTGCTTACGGAAAGAGTTTGGTTAATGTCTTGACAACGTCGTTCATTGTAGTTTCAAACCCAATCGACAATTTCTTTAGACGAGATGTTTACCAATAACACATATTTATGACCAAGAGCATGGTGTTGTCACTATAAAACCCCACTGAAATAATTTGGAATTCACAAGATTACAAATGCCACAGAGAGAATTGATGTGGACAGGAAATACAATGTACCGTGAAAAAGTTGACAGAACTCACAACATACTTTTAGAAGTTCAACATGCCAAATGTTCATCGTAAGTTTGTACGGATTAATTTGTTAGCCACTACAGTATGTACATAGTCTGCTTTTTAAAATAATCTAATCATTCCAATCGTTTTACAGCAGGAACATATATTTTTTTCTTATTTTTTTTTTCTTTAAGAAAATGTGATCATTGAGGCATATATAATGTACAATAACACTTACAGTGTCATATTTTGATAGCTCTTATAAAGGATAAGAAAATCCA